ACTATCTGACCCCCAGTTGTCTTCACTGAAAAAAAAATGAATTAAAAAAAAAAACCCCTGAGTTACAGAGGGCATTCCTAGGAAAATGCCATGGAGCTTACTGGGGACAAATCCAGGAGAAAACTAGCAAGCTTCCTTTTCAGCAATCTGTAAACATCTACTTTTAGTTAGTTCTGTGTACTTCACTGCAGTAACACCTCCCGTTTGCATGACTGAGCACTCAGTTGCCCACTGGTTTTTGCTCAACTCCAGACACTCATGCTAAATGTCTCAGACTTGGAGCAAGATCTGGAGGTGGGCGAGTCAGGCGTCATGCTGACAACTTTAAAGATGCTATTTGTCCTCTGTAGCCTTCAGTGTCAAAAATACTGCAAAGACAATATATTTCTGTACACCTCTCTTGAGGTATATAAAAGGCTTCAGTGGTAGGTCAGCAAGTTTATTTCTCCTCTAAACTCATACCTACAGGTGCTCCCAGAGGTACTCGAACATCCTGGTTTTTTCCTAGGATAACTGAAGGTATTGTCTAGACTTTACTGAAGTAAATTTTCTGTGATATAAAGCCCAGTGTACTCTCTACACACAAGTCTCTCAGTGGGTGAATACAGATGTAGTACTACAGCTCTGAGGAGCAGTAAAGCAGGGATTGCAGGGCTGGAGAGGACGTAAGGAGGCAAGTAGCATCTACAACTTACTTCTCCTGGAACTGGAGAAATCCGGGTTTGACCTGAGGCTTGGCGTTCTCCAGGGAAGTAGTTGCCAAGGGTGAAGTTGCCAGGTTAGGCACTGATGCTGGGATCTGAGGCATCTGGGGTATAGTTGAAGCCAGCTGCTTCCAAGCTAGCAGTGTGGGGGCAGAGGGCACAGTAGCTGGACTTGGAGTGGGCACGTCAAGGGCAGGAGCGCTTGCCATGGTGACAGAAGTAGCAGATGGTGATGAAGGGGCCAGTGAAGCCTTATTCTCAGTAGTAGTTGAGAAGGGAGACTCAGAGTTACTTTTCACAGTTCCACCCTCAGTTCTGAAGTGAAAACTGCAAAAAGACAGTGTAATTCAGACATAAATTCTTGACCATTGCATCTAACTTGATTAAACATCAACGAGAATGTGGCAGGAGTCTGCAAACAAAGTAGCTGAGGTTAAATCCTAAAAGGGGCTCTGCAAACTTTGCGGAAAGATTTAGGGGCCTCCCAGACAGTCTGTGAAGAGCAGGGAATTCAGTAAGAGGGGTGGAGACAGAAGAGTGCAAACCCGTGTTGAAATCAGAGAGCTGCAGTCAGTAAGACCGCTGTGCCTATGAGGGCGGCTTCCCGTGGCTGTTGTGAGAAGGCAGTAGTTTGCTGTAGTGAACCACAGGGAACTATCCAATGCCACAGACCAACTGTGCTAACAGATCTTTCTGTCTTAAAATCTGCAACACCTTCCCTTCAAACCCCTTCAGAAGCAGCCGTGGGGCCAGCTGCTGAAGGCCGCCTTCCTTCTTTACTTGGGCAAATCTTCCATGGCCTTTAAAAGGAACTTGGTGTGGTTTTGAACTGCAGATTATGCTCTGTAGACATTTGCAAGGGAAAATTTCCAGTATCCCACCCTTCCTTCACTAGTCCCTTGTCTGTAACAGTGGGAGTGTATCTTAAATTAATTCTTCACCCAGGAGTCACGTAGAGTTCTGCGTGTGCTGTACAGCCTCTGGAAGATAGGCCAGATTATCTAACCTGCAGTTCTGGCCACCACGCTCTGGGCTGTATGCTACCTTCCAAAATGTTGTGAAATGACAAAGAGTTTACAATGTAAGAACATGGCAAGGAGAGAAGGGGGCTGGTGTTGGGCTGGTTGACTGCTTCATTTCAAGATCCTTATCCACCTGATGTGAACCTCTTAAACAAAACCCTATAAATAAGGGCTAGGGAAAACTTGTTAAAAGAGATCTGTCACAACAAGAAAATGAACAGTAAAATGCTTTCTACACTGCAGTGATGGAGAGCTGTCCACTCCACAAAAAGTCTGTGTCCAGTGACAACGGTTGGGTTTACAGGGTCCTCTCCCTCCCCTATTTTCTTATTTCTTGTATGGCTTATTTGTGTGCTGTGAGAAATACGGGTCTCCTTGAACACCCTGTCTGTCAAGTAAGCTACGGAAAAAACACAAATGTCCAATTCTCAGCTTTGCCAACACTTTTTCACAAGTTGCGAAACAAAATTAAAGAGGACATAGTGTTCTGCAAAGATTTTAGCTGAGCACATTTGCACAGGAAGCAGGCAGATGCCCAGATCACTGCCCTCGGGACTGCCCACGTTCCTGCTCTTGAATGGTTACTCATAAGGTCTCTCTCGTCCTGCAGTGTGAGTGCTGTAGAGTTCTCTCATGGTTTCCCAAGGCTCTACTTACTTGGCATGTTTGATGGCTCCATCCAGGGTACTGAAAAGGGCACCGCATTCCTCCACGACACAATGGAAGTGCACCTTATGGAGAAAGTCACACTGCGCATCGCAGAAATCCTTGGTGCCAAACCTGGCCAAAGCAGACAAGCAGATATCTTACAGAAGGCCCCAGAAGAGAAGCAGTGTTGGAACACACATATTTTCTTTGTTTTTCAACTCTACCACCAGTCTGTTTTCTAACGTCACTGCCCCTGCTGCACAAACAGCACTGCTGGCATTGTGGCTTGATCACTGCCTGTTACATCTGAACATGCAGAACAAGAACCTGATTTCTCTCCAATTGAACTTGACTGAGAAACTCCCAAACACTTTTAGTGGGAGCAAAATACAGGACTACTCTGAAATGAATGATGAAAATCATTAGTGTTCTTGAGCATCTATGTACAAAAGCCAAGGCTCTGAGGAACGACCAAAGGTTAGTAAATTAAAGGCAATCCAGACCAAGAGGACACTGCTGAAACTTACAGGTTGGTTTTTTTCTTTTTCATTTTACTGGGAGTAGCAAAAGGGAAGAAACAACAGTGGTTCAAGGGAATCTAGATCCAGAATCCGCTCAGCCCCTGCCTTGAAACCACAGGGTATCACATAAATGGGAGCCTGTACAGCCATTACGGCCTAGTACAGATATGTACTGAAAAGCACAATCCCTGAAGTACAGAAGAAACAATGCTGCAGTGCAAAAACAGAGCAAAAGCCATCGTCTAAGGTACACTTCTTGTCATCTTGGAGGAAATGGGCAAGAGGGCAAAACCAACTAAGCATGGTTTCACTGCTCATCCACTGCTGAGATTCTCCGGACTTATTAAGGGTAGCACAAATAGATGTGATTTCTGCAAACTTCAGAATTGCAGAAAAATCAAGTAAAAAACACTGGCAGGAAGGATTTGAAACTTACCAGGGGAATCTTGCCTAATTAAGATACAACAAACTACAATTGCTCTGATGAGCAGGAAAGCAAGAAACAAACAGCAGCCTGTGTGGTCCCAGGAGACACCTCGTAACAATTTGAGGGTAAAGGAAAAAGAAAAAAAAACTTGTACTGGAGAAGGAAGGTCAGTGGATATAGAATACATGCAGTCGGTTATGGCTTGCGGGGAGAAGATGAAGGAAGGTAAAGGTGTGGTAAGAGATAAGAAACGCAGTTACTGCAAGCTGAAGGGGTTGTGTTATCAGGGACAAGAGGTATTGCACTCAGAAGGAAGGTCCAATAGGAATGGGAGGTGATGAGTCAAAAATGGCTGCCTTATAAAATTTGCTCTGGATAGGAAAACTAAAGACAAAGCAGACAATTAGGGATAAAATGAAGACCTTCAAGAAGAGCAGATAAAGGGACTGGTTAGAAAATATAAATATGCACAAATCAGCCAGTCTGGATGATGTCTGTCCTAAAGTGCAATGGAAATGAACTTGCAAACTGATTGCATGACTATTTGCTATTTTTTAAGCCATAGAGAAGTGGGAGGAACTAGGAAATCGGCAAAAAAAAATTTAAATTCTAAGTACTGATACTTTTGGGGGTAAAAAAAAAAAAGACAAGTGATCTTTGGCAATTATCATACCTCTAGTCCTAACTTCTCCTTCCAGTGAAGTAATGGAACAAATATTAAGAGGGAGGAGAAAATCATTAAACATCTAGAGGATAAAGGCACCATGAGCAATAAACAGCATCAGGATTATAAAGAATAAATCTTGCCAGACAAATTTAATTGCTTTTTTTGATAGAATTACAAAATTAGTGGATGAAGGGATGCAATATATTTGGATTTTAGTAAAGCATTTTGATACAGTCTCGTATATGCTTAGAATTAATTCAAATTGGCCTGGATGTGAATGCTACCTCATGGATTGAAAACTGGCTGAAGGACCGTAAACAAAGGCTAATGACAAACAGCAACATATTGAGCTGGGGGGAGGTATCTTGTGAATGCTGCAAGGATGACTTTAGCTAGGTCTGAGCTTATTTAACATCTTCATTAGTAATCTAGGAGAAGGAGTAAACAGCGCGTTAATGAAATTCACGGAAGATACTGAACTGGGAGGAGTTGGCAACACCAGTGCAAGGGGAGAAAAATAACACAGAGAGGCCTTGCAAGACAAGGGAGAAGGTTCAGAATACGAGAGTCACGTTTGGAAACAGACCACTAATAACATCTAGGGGGTGGGGTGGGGATTTCTATACATAGGGGACTCAGGAGAGCACCATTAAAAGCAATCCTGTGTAACTCTGGATGGTAAACAGGATACGTGTACATTATGCAGTATAGATGCAAATCAGGTAGCACAACTGTGCGCTGCCTATGTGGGCCAGAAAGCTTGTTGTATCTGGTGTGGCGATACAGGAATGGCAGCCCAGTTCTGCACCCATGCAAGGAACAGCAAGAACGACAGCAGCAACAACACGATCAGCAGGCTGAAGGGGCTAATTTGCAAAGTCAGATTAAAGGAAGTAAATAAGCTTGGTTAAATGGTAGGCTAAAAGTCTGTGACTATCTGAAGGGAGTGAACTCCAATTGCAGAGAGGAATAATCTGCTGTGGTTCGAGGGGATACAACAGGAGAACTGCAACAAAATTACGAAAAGGGAAATTCAGGCAGCATACCATGAAAAAAACTGTGACAGTGAAACGCATTAGGTGGTAGAATAATGCTCCTAGAGACAAGAAAACAGCCACACTGCTTGGCATAATTACACGTAGGCTGGACAAAATGCAAATGGACTGCAGGGAAGGATCTCGCACTGGCCAGGGGCAGATGGACTAGAAGACTTTCTAGTCTTCTCCACTAAAGTCTGTGACTTACAAAGCGTCCACAAGCATTTGTAGGCAACTACCTGTGTCAGAGCACAAACCTGTATGTGTCCGCCTGGGTGTACTTTGTGTGCTCAAAGCATGTGTCTGCCTGGGCAGGTATGTGCATGTGTCTCTGTGTGGGTGAGTTTTGTATCTGTTCCATTTTCCTTTCAAGCCTTCTTGTCTACAACAAAACTGGCAGAAACCATCCCAGTTCCCATAGCCCTTATACTCCTTGTTTTGTTCCAGTGGCCTACTCCTATGGTCAGAGGAAATGCCACAGCAAGCATTTTAAGGCTTCTGGGCTCTGTGTGTAACAACTACACATGGTGCAAGAGAAGTCTGGTGCCACGAGCAAGCTGCAGTGGGTCCCCTGGACTTGTAGACTGGGACATGAAGAGGAGCCTATGAAGTCCAGGCTAACAGGACTATGTGAATATCTGTGCTCGTAGTTGGTTCTCAAGATCCCTTTGCAAAATAATTCTATGTGGATAGGTATTTCTTACAGGACATTAACACTTACTGCAGCTAGCCGGGACTGAGGACTAAATGCACTCCAGGAGGTGATCAGCATATCACAGAATTAGGCCTTTAAATTCAAGAGAACTCTGCATTCAAGTGTGAGCTAATGAGCCAGACACTTTGCAAAGGAAGTAATTTTCCCTTTCCTCTATTCCCAGTTCCATGCTCTCCTTACCGGCGCAGGTACATCTTCCACGGCTCAGAGAGCTTCTCCTGGACAAGTGCCTTCACTGCCTTGCCCAAGTACTGTGTTGGCTCTCCAGCCCCAGCCTGGCTGCCATCTCCTTCTGTAGCCAAGGCTGGCACTGGTCTTGGACATCTGGAACAAGAACACAGACACTGCATGAAGCCCAGCACACAGCTGTGGACACTGCCGGTCTGGATACCCTCAGGACTGTCCCACAGAAAGCTGTGCCTTCAAAGATTAAGGGAGAAGACAAGAAGTCTGCACAGGCTGCCTCAACTGCACCAGCAAAGCTTAATAACACCTCACTCTTCTGCATCCTCCACCCAACCACCACAAAGTACTCAGGTGCCCATCTAATATTCATGGCTCTTGTGTACAGTAATGAAGCATCATGTCTATTTTACACCTGTGGGGACTGAGGTGAAGAGAGAAATACCCTATTTGAGTACAGGAAAGGTGTGCAGGCTTAACCATTAGTAGCCCTACACAGCTCCTACAAAATGCTGGTCTCTTAGTACAGACCTAGTGATAGAACTGTAAGCTCTTGTTTATTTAGAATCACCTTGTCCCAGCGACCAGGATGTCTCCTTCTTTAAAGTGACTATCAGATATGTTTTGGCATGGGAGGGGGGAAAAGTCATTCAACTGGGGAAAAATTCTGGCTCCATTTAAGTTCCTGGAAAATTCTTACTAACTTCAATAAAGAAACTATGTCACTTGCTGTGCTGAATGGACATATCCTCCACTAAGCAGGACTTGGATTCACAATCTGCATTGTGCAAAAGGCTTCAAATAGATTCTACACAGAGAACGTTTAGAGGTTCAGGCGTGTGATGTGCAGGATAGAAAAAAGAAGTTGCTCCAGAGTGCATGAGAGAAAATTCTTTCAGAATAAATGCAAAATTTCCCAGACCCTTTCTTGCTTTGTTGTGCTCTCAATTACCTCCGGTAACAACAATGAATTTCACAGCATGAATAAAATGCAGGATTGGGCCCAATACTTGCCTTATAAACTCCACCCACTTGAGGATCATGAAGCCCTTTATAAATATCAGTTAATTAAGCCTGACAGCCCCCTAAATAAACTGCAATACGCTACAGGAACCCTGGCTGTCTGAGGCTTTCTTAATGCCCCCTGAAGGTAAAGCCCCTGCTGCTGTGTGGAGACTGCAACTCTTTATGGCTGCAGTCAGAAATTCAGGTCGTCTTTTTCCACTGGTGTTTGCTGGGCATTCAATTTCTGTAAAGGGTTCTTTTTCCTAGGCAAATAATGCAGGAGTCCTCCACAAACAGAAACTGTGTGCAGCAAGAGGACGAAGCAAGCGTGATGTGTCCCTGAGCACACTGAGCTTGATTCTGCAATCCGTAGTCTTGGAACATGCTCCTTCAAATCAGTGGGCTTTGCTGGTTTATGTCATCGGTTAATCCCTTTTCTTCTTTGAAAAAGGAACAAACCGGAGGAACTCCTATTTTGCACCCGTGATACACTTACTTTGCGCAACATAAAGAATCATATGCAGGGCTGCACACAAACAAATGCTTATTTCTAAGCATATGCTTAAATCTCATATTCTCCTGGAGATTTTCAAGTGAGGTATCTATTGAAACAGGATTTCCCTGAGCTGGGGCCTTCAGAAAGACTCGGGACCCCAGACAGCAGACTTACTAAATAGATCTACTCACTGGAGAAAGAGCTGCATACTTGGAATCACTGAAGGGACAATACGCAGGAACAAATGAGAAATTAAGTTTAAAAGGGAACATCAAAACCCCAGTGTAACAGAGAGCCAATGGAGGAGAGAAGTGGCATAAGGATAAATGTATAAATTAAACAACACAGAGAAAAAGAAGAGTGATGAAATAAGAGAGAAAGGAGGCGAGAGATTGCTAGACAAAGTCACTTTGCCCTCTCTTGAGGGTTATATGGCCTTGATGCATGTAACGCCCAGAGCCAAGGGGATAGCAATAGTTATGCCTTTAAAACCTATCACACAGTAGAATATTAAAGCATGGCTCAAAGGCTGCCCTGATCTCTACTGCAGTTGTATACAACAGCAAAATTAATCTTGGTACAGTAGAATTTATCATGTGAAAGGGAAATATATATTTGAGATGATGTATAATTTAAGGAAAAACTAAGGAAAAAGAAACTGTGCATTATGTAAAATAAATACTCTAGAATACGGTAAAGGAGGCTCTGTCGGACATCATTACTCAAACCAGAAAGACAGAAATTGATGATTTTGGCTCAAAACTTTGAATTTTTTTCTTCTCTTTCATAAAAACAAATGATTCTCCTCCCCCAATGAAAGAAAATGTTTTTAAGTAAATAAACAAAATGAGTAACTATAAAAAGAGAGCGAGAGAGAAGTTGCCAGGTTCTGGAAATAAAAATTGAAAAAAAAAAAAAAAAAAAATCTTTCAGAGCCCTCCTCTGTCTAGAAAGGATGAAAAAAAAAAAAAGGTGTCAGAGGCTGCAATATATTTCTTCAGCCAGTTCATTAAATTAATTCGTAAGCAGTGGCTCTGAAATTATACCCGATGAAAAATGGTCTCAAAATTTAAATGGTACAAACTCATCTTATTAGAGGCAAAACATTAAAAAACAAACGCATCTCTTCCCCCCCTCCCCGCCATCGCAGCTTTAATTTCTCTTGGTGGGGGGAATGAAAGGCGTTTGATGGATGGCTCTTACCTTATTCATAAGCGAGGATAAAAGAGATGAATTTGCCGAGACTGTGTGGCCATTTGATTCATTACTGGAACACACAAACCAACAGGGTTTAGTTAAGATGTGCACAGGGACTGTGAGCACTGAGATTAATCCTTCTCCCTTCAAGCTGCCTCACTCCTCACCTGCTACATCCGGAGGAAGAGAATGATGCCCACCCTCCCTTGGGCAGGCCAAACTCGTTTACTTGTGAGAGCCAAGAGGGAGAGAAAGAGGGTCCTAAGTCTGCAGAATTCAGTTCTTTCAGCTATTAAACAGTCCAGACCTCTTCCTCCAGTGTCCACACCATCACACTTTTTTATTAGCTGACTCACAACCCACCCCATGTTTTACTTCTTCATCCCGTTAGAACTTTCAGAAACATGCCACAAAACCAGGGGGGATGCTGACAGAAGACTCGTACTGCCAAGGACACGGGCCCCCTCAGCAGCAGAGGAGAAGGCAAGGCAATGGTCCTTAGGGCCACAGCTAAGCATGCTGACAGGCAACCTTAGCTCTTCACATGCATCAGCAATAGCTGTAGCTGATGACAAGTGCTGGGGTCCCAAATCAAGGCTTGTTTAAATAAAGTATGGAAAGGAAAGTATACAAAGGACAAAGTGGAGCAGGCTCACTTATCCCCAGGATCAGTTCCTCTGCAGTTTTTCCACACAGGACAATCCCCAACACTCCTGTTCTCAGTAGAGATGCTGGTCAAGTGGGACACATGCTTTGAGACAGGTGAATTCACCTCTGCACAAGTGCAAAGATTCATCACCATAGCTATAGATGAGCACATGTCAGACCCAGACCAGAGTAGCCTGACACCCAGTTGTTTTGTGCGCCCAATTTCTCTGGAAGGTGCCTCTCTTTAGACCTGATTCAACGCTCTAGTACATCAGTGCAAATGCTCCTGCTAAAAATGTGCTGTGGCATTGGAGCAGCCTTCGATCAGCTCTTGATAACAGCAGG